CTTTTAAAGGGGGGGGGGGGGCGGATAAAGCCGCGCGCAGACTTGCAGAAGGTTCTCGTTTATTCTTGCTGCAAACATAACTTCTATTGTTTATCCCTGCTTTTGTTGTTCTAGAAATTGCGTCTTCGTTCTCGCCCCGAGCGCGCTACGTTCGAACCTTCCCCACCGAATTTTCGAGATAGTGACTCACTCTAGATAAGAAGCCGCCCGCGACCTTGTCGAGTCAGTTTTCGCCCCAGCGTTCGACTGTGCTGCTACGCCGACTTCGACGTCCGCGACGCTCTGTTATTATCTTTTGTACCCTTTTATTTTTGGCACAAGTTCGCCACATTAAACGTTTATTTCTTCCTGTTTATTTTCTGCCTTTTTGTCACCACCCGTGACATTTTTTGGTCACCACCCGTGACGCGTTGTTGAGCCTTAATACGGAGTCTGGCGAGCTGACGGACTTCTTCTGCCCTTTGGGCAACCACCTGGGCGTCGTCGCTTGCGTCGACAGCCGGTTCGTGGGGTAACATAGCATCCAGCATTGTCGTTACCTTGCGCCCATGCACCAGTTGAAAGGGTGTCACTCCGGTGGTCTCTTGTACGGCCGTGTTGTAGGCAAATGTGACGTACGGCAACACCTCATCCCATGCCTTGTGCTCCACGTCGACGTACATGGAGATCATGTCGGCGATGGTTTTGTTGAGACTCTCCGTCAGCCCGTTGGTCTGCGGGTGGTACGCCGTGGTGCGACGATGGCTGGGGTGGCTGAGACGAAGGACTTCTTGCGTCCGCTGGGCCATGAATGATGATCCACGGTCTGAGATCAGGACTTCGGGAGCGCCGTGCTGGAGGACGATGGACTCGATGAAATACTTGGCGACTTCAACAGCCGTTCCTGATGGAAGGGCTTTTGTCTCGGCGTACCGCGTGAGATAATCGGTTGCGACGATTATCCATCGGTTTCCTTGCGTCGACGGTGGGAAAGGTCCGAGTAAATCCATACCGATTTGCTGGAATGGGGCAGATGGTGGCGCAATAGGCTGAAGAAGTCCTGCCGGTCTCGTCGGTGGCTACTTCCGTCGTTGACACTCGTGGCAAGATCGGGTGTAGTGGTGTACTGTCTTCGCAGGCTTGGGCCAGTAGTACTTTTCGCGTATCCTTGCAAGAATCCTGCTGTAACCAAGGTGTCCCGCCGTCGGGTAATCGTGGCAGGCTTGAAAAATTTCTTCTCGAACACTGGAAGGAATCACCAACAGCTACGCCGTGTTGTTGTCGCTGAAGTTCTCCTTGTACAGCACGCCTTGTCGGATGGAGAAGGTTGGCAGTGTTCGTACAAAACCGCGGGGACGGCGCTTCCTTGTTCTTCTAGGTGCTCGATGAGTGCTCGCAGCTCAGGGTCGTCTCGTTGGAGTGCTGCCATGTCGCTGACATCCAGAGCGCCGAGGAAACACTCATCGTCGTCCTCTTTGATGCAGGCAGGACCGGCCTCGACAGGGGCCCTTGACAGGCAGTCGGCGTCATTATGCTTCCGGCCGGACTTGTACACCACGGTCATGTCGAACTCCTGCAGTCGAAGGCTCCCCCGAGCGAGGCGTCTGGAGGGGTCCTTCAGATTCGCCAGCCAGCAGAGCGAGTGGTGGTCTGTGACCACGCGAAAAGAACTTCCATACAGATATGGGCGAAAACCAGACTTGTACGTAATCCGTTACAAGTAACGAAATTACTTGTAATCCCTTACATTTATCGGTAATTTAGTAACGGAATAATTGCATATTTTCTAGAGTAATTCTAACGTAATTCCCTTACATTTTTGACGTAACGGATTCCTTGTATTCCGTTACATTTTTTTTGTCAGAACCAACCCCCCCCCCCCCCCCCCCAATTCTAAATAAAGTTTTTATTTTTTTTATTTTTGTAAAGTCGAGCGCAGTGACACTGTCACGCGAATCGACCAGCGCAAAGGTAGGCTTGGCACTCTTCAGTTCCGCAAACTCTTTTTTTGCAACACCAAGCCCCTGAATCTATCTTTTTTTTAGACCCTAACATCAATGTCGAAAAATCCAAATGAACATTTCTACAAAAAAAAAAAAAAAAGAGGGGGGGGGGGGCAGGTCATTTCCGCTTTCTTTAGTTCTTTTTTTTTTTTTCTTTGCGATCAAAGACGGGGAGAGGGGGACACCAAGTGATTGTGCACCTCTTCGAGAAGCTCGAGGCGGTAAGTGCACTGAAAGGAATTAACAATGTCTTTCTCGGTTATAGTGACTAGGACCATTTTCATAATGTCACAACACGAAACAACGCTCCGTCTACCCTAACCTATTTGTGAGTCAGCTTTTTGCGAGCACTTATAAAATGGTAATATTCTTCCTTTCTTCTTCTTCCTGTTTTGCCCCAGCAGGACGCGTCTTATCTCAAGCAGATATTTTTACAAATAAAACATAATGGTGGCTGACGTAGACTTGATATTCTGGGCTTGAGGAGAGAGTGAAATTTGTGAGTGGGTGGCTTACTTAGTACTCTACCCTTTGCTGCCCGTGGCATCAGCGGACGTCTATCTGGAGAACATCGGAGTAAACTGCAGTCCGTCCGTGCTCCGTGCGTTTTTGAACGGCACCAACAAAGGTACACACGGCAAACGTGCGTTTAAATTTCCTTGTTTTGACCGACGTTCTAATTAATTGTTGCTATGAGTGTCCTTTTTCTTTTATTACTTATATTTATAAACTGGAAACTTTTTTTTGTTCACCAACGTCTCAAAAGAGGCTCGAACTGCTCAGACCAAAGAAAGAAGAATATCGAGCCAAACCTTATTTATTATTTAATTATCCCCTTACTGTTACAACTATGTTTTGCTGTTGACTTCTACAGCTTCGCGATTTATACAATGGAGAATTTTAGTAAATCGGTTCGATGACTCCGATAATGATATCCGATACTTCGCCGCCGTCTTTGCGTATGCATCATATCGTTATCGGGTACCGTTATCGCGGGTATCGGAGGTATCGGAAGGATCTACAAAATCTCTCGAATAGCAGGCAACGGCTGCAACGACGAAGCTTTGTTCTACATTCGAGGTGAATAGTACTTCCCTTGCTTCGCTGAAAAAGCTCAATGCAGAGCATGAAGCATTCGTGAGGAACAAAATGGCACTCCCATCCAGTGCCTCAGCCCAAATGGTGTTCAGCGTATCATCGACATATTGAGTAAGAAATAACGCAAAATGTCTGACGAGACTTTCGAGAGCCAGCTGTTGCTCAAAATACTCAAGGTCATTAAATGGAACAGGTGGCAACAATAAGAACTTGAATAACCATCTTTCCTTTGTTTCTTACTTGAGGACAATAATGTTAAAAGTAACGCCACGAAAGTAACGGATTACTTTTTGGGGTAACGGTCAGTTACTTTCATGGGAGGGTAATTGTAATTGTAATAAATTACAATTTAGCCTCGAGTAATTGTAAATGTAATTCCTTACTATTTTTCAGTAACGTGTACAAGTCTGGGCGAAACTTAGTTATTGCCCATACGACAGCGAGACACTCCTTTTCAGTCGTTGAATAGTTCCTCTCCGGATTAGACAGCGTCCGACTTGCGTATGCGATAACTCGCTCTTCTCCGTCCTGCACTTGGTCCGGTGTTACTGGCGTCGGTGTGGATCTCGGTTTCAGCAAACTGGTCGAAATGGCCAAGAATCGGGGGCGTCTGGAGTCTTCGTTTGAGCTCGTCGAATGACCTTTGGTGTTCTTCTGTCCACTCGAACTTTACGGCGTCCTTCGTGAGGTGTGTCAGCGGTGCGGATAGCTTGGCGAAGTCTCGAACAAAGCGCCTGTAGTAGGCACAGAGTCCGAGAAATCTTCTCACGGCCTTCTTGTCAGACGGCGGCGTAAATGCAGCTACGGCGCGGGTCTTCTCGGGGTCAGGTAGAACACCCTTGTTGTTCACGACGTGGCCAAGGAACTTTATAGTTCCCCATAGGCGAACCGACACTTTGTTGGCTTGAGGGACAGGCCGGCGGTCTTGATGGCTTGAAGCACGGCTCGAAGTCGTCTGAGGTGTTCGTCGAAATCTCGTGAGAATACCACGACATCGTCCAGGTAGACGAGGCAGCTCTGCCATTTCGGACCTGCCAGCACGGTGTTTATGACGTGCTGGAAGGTGGCTGGTGCTGTACAAAGTCCGAACGGCATCACTTTGAATTCGTACAGTCCGTCGGGAGTGACGAAGGCAGTTTTCTCCCGGTTACGTTCGTCGACTTCAATCTGCCAGTAACCACTCTTCAGGTCCATCGACGAAAAATATCGGGAGTGGCGCAGTCGGTCTAACGTATCGTCGATGCGGGAGAGCGGATAGACGCCTATCCTCGGACACCGTTACTAAAGGCACCTTTACTAGGCTAAAAAAAATCTCTTAGATTAGACGGTTATATTACAGGGACTTACTCGCGTTGTCATTGGACGAATGTGGCAGACCAGGAGGCATTCCCGTTAACAATACTAAACACAGGGAAGGCTATTAGCACAAACTCGGAGCCTCGGGAGCTGCTTCAAGTTTACGAGCTCGCACCTTAAATCAGTACTAGGACAGCTACTTAGACTCTGTGCCCGCAATCGTTGCCGATCTCACAGTAACGCCCTGTTCACATATACAGCGCAGTCAGCACTAGAAATATTAAATGACTATTAATCAGCACTATAGAAATAGCGCTAACACTGCTGATGTAGCTCTGAGATATATTATTGATACAGCACGGGGCCAACATCGTATTAGTGCTAAATAAGGTTCATATTATCGCCCCACCAGCGTTGTTCATCGTGTTGAGTAAGCACTACGCTGTATGTGTCAGCGGGCTTTAAGTTTAAATCGGAGCGCATTTCCGCCCTTCGGAGCAGCACTGATAATGGCCAAATCTCTCAGACAATACGGCGCTTCAATGATAGAAATCTAGACCCTAGCGTACACGTTTTGTTGTTTTAAGAAAGTGTGAAAAGCACGCGCCGTAACCGCACAAGCGCTGAGGATGGCACCGGCCAGAAGCTCTTTATTGGAACGTACACCATGGCTGAGTTGGCTGCTCACTGCGCAAGCTGAAAATAAGCTCCCAGTTATCATCCACTAAGGATGATTAGAATGACGGTCTTGATGACGTGCAATGATAAAAGTCAAGTAAATATTCTGGCAAGTTGAGAAAGCTCGTCTTCAGCATACGCTCAGCACCAAAGCGGTGAGTGAGCAGCCCCGGTCACAACACATCTTGTAGTTTGAAACCGGAAACTGTAATAGTTGTGGTCATGTAAACTTGTACTGTTTTTTAGGATGCTGTTACGCAGTATTTTCAGATCTATCAGTATACATATGAAGGGACTTGGTGGTTCGGTCGCATGCTGGAATCTTTTTGTATGCAACAACCGTGTTCGTTGTCAACGTTGTCATCGCGTCTAGTTTCAGACTTGCACGTCGTATGTTGCTTACGAATAATGGGCGCATATTTTATCAACAGATTTATAATCATTACTTTGCCATCGTAAGTTACGACACAATACGCATCAGGCCTCAAGTGCGTTGGCACTATTGAAACGGAGCCTGTAAGGCCGCATTCGGATTTCAAAAGGCACGGGCAAAGTATGGTCTTCCCACGGAGAGGGGCTCCGTGTAAGTTGTAACCGTAGAAGAGATACACTCCTCTAAAACAACTCTCGTTGTTTTTGAAAAGTTGCGTCCACCCGCAGAATATCATTGCCTTGGGTGACGAAACAAAACAAAAAAGTGCACCAGGACAACGGAACTTCCGAGAGCGCCCATGCACGAGTCTTGGGAGGCTGTTTCTTCATAGAACGAACACGTCCTGAAAGCACCACTAAAGTCTGTGGTATAGGTCTATTCCTTCTGCACGAAGACGTGTTGCCAAAAAGGTCACACAGGAGGTCCATCCCGCAAAGGTTGAGGTGGTGTCTCGGCACCTGGGTAGAGTAGGCCAGAGAAGAAATCTGCAAAACCGCAAGGATGCCTTATTGAATGCGTTGCTCCAACACAGATTATATTCGGGCGATAAACGCTTTTGCACATGTTTCCACACAAATCCTTGTCAGTCATGTCGTTTCTGGCTCAGCATAGCATCACGGTGTTGGAGAATCCGCCGTAGTCACCTGACCGGGTCCTATCTCATTATTTTTTTTTTTATTCCCCAAGATCGAGTTTTGGTTGAAAGAAACGAGGTTTGACTTCGTTGATGCTGTGAAGGCAGAAGCGACTGAGCTCATGAAGGCTTCTCACTCGATGACATACAGCACTGCCTTCACTAATAAAGATTCGCATGGAGCGGCATATGGACAGGGGAGGCGTGATATATATATGAGGCATTACATTTAATATATTGTTTTTAAGTGGAGTCTCTTTATTTTATAGCTACGCACCTTCTCCTTTAGGGACAACGTTATGCGGTAGATATATCAAAGTAAAATGAAGGCGTCTGCGTGCTCCCGCATCTTGAGCGCCGATTTAAGGTTTACACGCGAACTCTTTATTCATTAATCAACCACACTCGTCTTCATTCCGCCTTGTAGTATAAATAGAAACACTTCTAAAGGCGCGCGCTCACGGTCCCTGAAGATTTCCCGCGTTCATAAAAAAAAAATGTAAGATTTAAAAAAAAAAAAAAATTGGGATTGTACGTGTTAAATTAACGAAGGGAATGATATTTATACGATTGCAAAAAAGGAGCCATGTAACCAAAATCCTGGTTACATGGCACCTTCTTCGCAATAAGCTTCCATTAAATTGCGGGCATCCCGGTCAGAATTCAGCACCTCCAACTGGGGATCTGAAGGCCAGCATATTGCCTTGGTGGCACAGAGGGGCTGTAAGTTCAACACAGACATCTTCCAAGGCATGGCACTTTTACTTAACAAGCCTTTTATATACAACCACTTGAGTGGCTTAGTTCCGCTAGATAAGCAATCAAGAAGCAATGATCGCGGACATCGCATATTCTTCTTGTTCTTTATCATTCTTCAGCAGCATGAATTCCGACGAGATAATAGGATATTTGTCGTTAGTATTGATGCAAATTGACAGGATCAGCGGAAATTCGTTTGTGTGGTGTTGGCGAGCAGTTATTGGTTGATTGTTCAGACAGAAAGTGAAAGTAAGAAGAGCAAGGGAAGACCGACCTTCATTTGGTAAGCTGTCTCGTCTTGTAGTACCTCCGGGCAGACTCAGGAACGACAAGCTGCTCGGGTGTGAGGTTCGGAAAGAGGAGCTTCCTCGCTCGCAGCGCTCTGGCCTGCTTGGCGATGGCCAGGAACGGCCTGTACACGTCCTCGTAGTCACCCGTGGCTGACGTCTCGTGGACGTCGCAGTTCCACCGGTCTCCGAGCTCGAGCAGCTCGTGAGAAGACACCGCCCTGGCTTGTACCAGATCCCGCTTGGTGGCCACCAGCACCAGGGGCTTACCCGGCGCCTGGGCCTCCAGCCACGAGTGCAGGTCTATTGCGGTCCTCACGGAGTCCGGGCAGGTCAGCGAGACGACGAGCAGAAAACCGTCCCCCCACTGGGCCTCACTGTCGTTGGGTCTAGACTGTTACAGTAATAATAAAAAAACTAGACACAGGAACTCACTTATTCGCTAACGTTGGCGCCATTGGGCAGTGGGAAGCGCAGAAAAATGTGTACGCAAGGGTGAATAAAGTTAAAGTGGTAAGTCAGACAGGCAAATGTACAGTATTGGATGGCGTAAGCTGAAATTGCTGAGTTTTGATAAAGGGGTACCAGTCGCACCGCCTTGAGTTGAGAAGTCGAACTAGCACGAGAAGCCCGCGGACGACAGTTTGGCGCAACTGTGGCTCTGCTTGTACTTTTAATGGGATCTGGGATGTACTTTGGTGCACATCCTTGCTATTGCCTAATCTTGCTTGACTCTACTTGAACTAAAACTTGATGCCAAATTTTGGCGCTGGTAAAGGTATGTCCTTACAAACACTTGTGTCTCAGTGTTTTTCCGTGCATGTACATTTTTTACCTAAAGAAAGTTCATTTAAAGCTTTTCCTTTGTGTGTGTGTGTGTTTAGGGTTTCGGAAAAGCTGGCTTTTGCTTTCGGAAACCGATTATAAAGGCCCCAGAACATTTCGCAAACCGGGCCATTAAATATCGTTTTAAAACGACCGGAAGTGACTGAAAGACATCACTTCCTTAAAAAGAAAAGGGCATGCACGGCAAAATGGGATGCATGTTTTTTTGTAGAGAAAGACGTTTAGAATCTTACCCATGATCCAGGTTTGGCAGTATGGAAATGTAAATGCATCGCGACAGTATCTTAGAGATACTTTCGAGTATCATATCTCTATCGAGATACATTTGAAACATATATTTGTATCTCAGTAGTACATTTATAATGCATCGATTACATCGCTATACTTTGTCAGGCTCAGTATCACGTTGTATTTGTTCCTAAAAATTAAGTCTCGCGTTTTTGCAATAAATTGAAAAACCCCTTTTCGGTACAAGTCGTCCCATAATTTATAACATGAGCCTGCCGAACACCCCCTCTACAGGATTGAAGCCTGACTGCCTGGCATGTATAAGGCAAACGAGTTTATCAAAATTGAGAGAAAGAAGGCGGTACTAAGAAAGGTCACTTGCAAGAATAGCAGGCTCTTCCCACAAAGCCCTCTTTTCACTTTAGCGGAGCGGACGCTAGAAGTAATGCGAGAGGGGACGAGGAAACCACCAAATATGGACAGCAGAACAATTCTGGGCTTTTTTTTCTCTTATGCGTCAACAGGTTCTGTGAAGACAGGCTCTGCACCGTCGTCCCGTCCACCAACTCTGGATGAATAAGTAATTAAGACGACAATTTGAGATCCCCTCATGAGAAAACAGGTTTCATTTCGAGCATACGCCTTTTGCCAAGCATGTTTTTTTCCTCGCAGCATTTGGGATGGTAGTTGTAAAGAGATGGAGAGTTCGAGGTAAGAGGGGAGCTGCGGACACTGACATAAAAAGAGAAACACAATCATTATCATTTTAACCACGAGCCGCACCCTCCGCAGCTACCACCGTTCGGAAAAATAAAGTATCTCTGTATGTTTATCTATCGGTGTTCCGGAATACTCTTTTGCCATTTTTGCACACGTATCTCAGGGATATCCAAATGTATCTCTGTTTCTTTATTTTAGCATTAAAATATATGTATCTCACTATTTGTATAACGGTACTTTTTGTAGTATCTCTGCGCAGAGCTGCCCATGATCAGGTTGAATCAAGGCGCTTTGCTCTTTCTCGTGTTAGATCAACTTCCCATATCGGGACCTCATATCTGTCGGTTGTTGGCATGGTCGGTTAAGCTTAGATTGCCCAAGGTCATAGTCCTGACTGCGCAAACGTTCATGAGAGTAAATATGCCAAACTCGTTATTTATGCGGACCGACACAAGCATATTTTTCACCGCTGACGAGCAGAGTTTAAAGACAGCTCTCGCAAATAAAACCTTATCAAGTTAAGAAATTTGGGCACATGAAAACTTAAAGGGGCCCTGCAATCATATTTAAGCGTTTACCTTTTTAGCGGTTTCCACGTCTCTTGGGGTTCGGGCAAGCCAGCGGGCACGGAGATAGTAACTAAATATCAGTGCGTCGTATTTTAACCGGACGACGCGGAAACCTCCTCCACCGACGAGGGCGACCCGTGGTACCAAAAGCGCGCAAAATGTGACGTCCTTGGTCCTGGGCTTACTACTGGTCAGAGCCGCTAAAAGCTTCTTTTTAGTCGGAATACAAATTATAAGTGGCGCAAACCGTTTCATTTGTTCATGAAAGGAGTTTTTGTTCAGTATTTTAGATCAGAAAAGAAACAAATGCAGTTTATAAAGTACGGAAACAAGAAATGACCCGTTGACATACCCTCCACCAAGCGGTGGAAAAGGCGGCGCACACTAGAAAGGAGTAGTGGGATCAGGCGCCGACACGGAGAGGTCCCGGATGTACGCGGCGGCGCTGCGGTCGTATCAACAGGATGTTCCGACCGGCTCCGAGCGTTCCGAAGGTCTTTAGCGAGAAGCTCTGTCTTGCAATTCGGCCGTTTCGCGGTATGGCAGCGCGAAGTGGCTCCCATTCTGAACTGATCTTTACCCCGTGTTTGCTGTCGTCTGTGTCCAATGAAGTGTCATACCGAATTAGTGTTTAATCGGGCAGCAAATGCAATGAGAGCCGCTCTGGCTGCCCGCTGCGTACAGCCTATCCAGAACATGCTTTAGTGGCGCCCTCTCGCGCCGTCGACATGGAGTGCGGCAGCCGTGAGCGCTCGCGATGAGCCCACTATCCCTTCTCTAGTTCACGGCCGCTCAAGCAACCAAGGACGTCACGAGGGAGGTTATTTTTTGCTTGTTTTCGTAATTTTAATTTGCCTATAACTTTTAAAATAAAGCGAATTTCGAGAAAATAAAAGTTTCACTAAGTTACTACGTTCAGTGCGCTGAGGTTCGGTGCAAATTAAAAACCAGTAAAAAGCCCTTGCAGGGCCCCTTTAATGAAAATAAACACAAATAAAACAAAATGTTTTTTTCCCTGATAAATAAACATGTATCTCACACTAACAGCCTTACACTAAACACAAGACATACTGAAAATGAATTTTTCAAATCACTGGGTATGGTTTTGGGAAAACCATATACATTACGTCATCTTTAAGTTATCTTGCATCGTCGATTTGGTGTACCGCCAGCCGTTCTCTCTTGCCTATATCTGTGAAACTACTCCTCTACAAGTTCCTTTTTTACTCATACTTGAAATATTGTCACCTTTTCTGGGAAAAGACCACGTCTTCAAATTGGCACAAAAATACTGCTCCTTTAAAAGAAAATATTCCGAATCGCCCGCAACGCTCCATATGACTTTTACACTCCTGATTTATTCGAGTGATTTGCAATGATAACCATGTATAATAATTTATAGAATTATAGATTAAGCACTAGTCTTAATGATGAGAAAAATAGGAACATCGCAATTTAGGAGTAGCCTTGCATTTCTGATTAAAAAGTTCCAACATACACCCCCCCCCCCTCCTTGTTACGTTGCACATTGGGATATGATCCCCCACCGAATGAATTGCGCAAAACAACTGTTAAAACATTCCCTTCCATACCAACTCACCACTTTTTTCCAGTCGCGATCTGAGCATGTGATCTCTAACCATTAATTATCTACGAAATGTATTCGCAAATTGTTAATACATGCATTGGATCCAATCGCATATTGTGTCGAACCATGTCTGTTCGTTTTAGTTTTAGTTTTGTGTTTTATTTGAATTTTGATTGAATTGTACATTGTCAAACAAAAAGTGTTTTCTTTTTTGTAATGCCTTTGGGCCCTGAGAGGAAATAAATGAAATACAATTTTTTTTAGCTTCTAATTGTTTGTGTAGTATTCTAGGAGGCCGGAACTGGTCTGGTTGCTTTTATCAGTTTTATTTCCGTCCTCAAGTTTTATCACTTGATAAGGAAGTAAAGGTATGGCATTGTGTATTCGGACGTCCTCTTTGGACTGATGCGCGATCTCGATTAATACGAGGGTCGTCCCAAAAGTTTTCGGCCTGACCCAGAAGGAGCCGAGAGAGGTGAATTAAGTTACTTTTCGACTCAGTCCCATTTTAGGTCCATACACTTCTCTCAGCGACGCTCTAAAGGCCTGGATCCTCTTGAAAAGAAAAAAAAAAAAGGAAGTCTGGTCCTCCAAGAACGGGTCACACATCAACCCCATCATCATCACCAATAAGAAAACAAACAAAAAAAAAGTTTCTTTTTTAGTTGGGGGAAGAGATAAAAGTTTGATGAGGCGCGATCTGGAGAGCACGGTATGTTTGATCACGAAAGCCGGAGGAATAGATGGCATCCATCGCCACAGCAGCGCCGTGTGGGGGCGCATTGTCCTGATGAAACTGAACCCCCTCCGGAGCATACTGCGATGTTTGGTCAAGGTGGCATCCCTCAGGCGATGAATCAGAATTTTTTAGTAGTTCCCGGTGATGCTAGGCCATTTTTGAAGATAACCGCCAAACAACACAACTTCTAAATCCCCCCGAAAAAAACTGGCCTATATTTTGTTTGTTGGTGAAACAGACGGAACCTCCTTCGGCGGGAAAGAGGCGGTGTGCTTCCATTGTTTAGGTTTAGATTGGGCTTTGCTGACGGTTTGAAGGTGGTGGACCCAAGATTTGTTCACAGTCCAACTGGGCACATAAGCTTGCGGGATCTGGCATGAGCTGCTCGAAAACTTGCCTGGGTGTTTCTAGAAGTTTTTGGTCATACGAGTGCCAATCTTGGAACCCATCTGGCGGAAACCTTGTGCAAGTCATGATGTTGGGTCAAGATGCACTCAACTGTGGTTTTGGAGATTCCTTTGACCTGTGCGATGGTCCGAAGATTTACGCTGATATCTGCCTTTCGCTCATTGTGTACACGGTAGGGTTTTTTTTTTTTTTTTCTGCCCGCTCACTTCCGCAGGTCTGCCATGGAAGGGGCCGTCTTCAAGGCTCTTCCACCCTCGATTGAACTTTTGGGCCGACTTCTGCATTGTGCTGTAAGATGGGACATCATGTGCCTACGTCGCCCTCGTGTCTCTGTGGATCCCTGCCGGAGTTAGGCCCTTCCCAGCCAAATATTCAATCACCGATCGTGTCTTAACCTCCTTCAGTTTAGCTTGACTGCGCGGATATTTATTTCATTTATTTTCACCCTCAAAGACAGTTTTAGGCTTTAAGTAAAGGGAAGGGGACTCAAAATATTCAGTAGCAACACAGACACGATAACAATTATACAAAAATAAACGCTGCAGAAGTTATACATGTAATCAATTAAAATTGGCTAGTAGAACATTACAGAACTCCGCTGGCAACAGTGACGCTAACGATGGAGGATGGCAGCTGGTTCCATTCAGCGATGGTATGAGGAATGGATGATTTGTTAAACTCAATTGTTTTACCGGAGATTCGTTTAATTGGACAGGAGGCGGGATGATATTCTGTAAGGGGGGGGGGGGGGGGGGGAAGCGGGGTGAGAAAGCTTTCTCCGGGTTCAAGGGGTGCAAGTCAAGCTTACTTTTTAGAGAAGAAATAGTAGTGGAGTAGTTGTAGGATGATAAGATGAATCGTGGGCCTCGATTTTGGGTTGACTCTAGATGGTTGGTTACGTAGACTTGATGAGGGCTCCAGAAAGGGGGAAGCATATTCTAATTTAGGTCTTAAGTAAATTTCGTAAGCCATCTTCCGGACATGAGATGACGCGTTTCTTAGATTACGTCCGATGAATCCGAGCGTCCGGGAGGCTTCTGTAGTAATGGCTTCGATGTGGGGCTTCCAAGAAAGGTTAGGCGTTAGTCTAATGCCAAGGTATTTATACACTAAAAAAGCTTCAATCACGTCTTTGTCAATAGCATATGGAGAGGTTAGTGAAGACATTATATGAGTGAATTGGATTAGTTTGCACATTGATTTGTTAAGCGACATCAGCCATTTTTCGTACCTTGTTAAGTGACATCAGCCATTTTTCGTACCAGTCGTTTATTTCCGCGAGATCACTTTGGGATTACCGGTTTTCGATGATATGCTGTTATAAATGACGCGATCCTCTGCGAAAGGGGTGTATTTTACAAGAAGTGTCTCGCGGGAGGTCGTTAATGAAGATAAGAAAAAGCAGCGGACCAAGGTGCGCCACTTGTTGGCCGCCACCACAAGGAAATCGTGTCGTGCGTATGCGACATTTTTGGTGTTGCGAATCTTAAGAAGTGCCCACGTTCTCCAATAAAGTTTCGTGCCTGTGTTCGCACTCCTTCTGAGTCAGGCCGAGAATGTTTCGGGTTGGCCCACGCAGACTCACCTTGCCCGCCGTGTCCAGGAGGTTCATGTCCACCTGGTCGCCCTCCAAGTCTGCAGAAAAGGAGTACACGCTCTCTGCGAACAAGGGGGGTAGGGCCGAAGTGTCAGCAGGGGCGTGTACGGCTCGTGGGCTCACGCGTCGTACCCAGCGTCGGGTCGTACTCGTGGATGAACCGCCTCGTCAACAGGCGCACGATCAGGGCTGCGTGAACGCGAGGGGGTGAACGGAAAATGTTAAACGAAATGTGTTTTGTAAAACTAACTGGCAAGCGACTAACGTGAAGAGTCAACAGGCGACAACATTAAAGAGATTATGCGCCGAGAAATTGAGAGAGCAACGTCAGAACGCCGAGTTCCGGTTGGAATGATGGGTGGGTAGGCCTAAAGCTTTGTATCCACTGCACTCGTCGAGCGCGTTCTAATGCGAAAGCCATACGCCGGACGCGGGACTTCCACGTTTTAACGCTTTTGACGAGTGCAGACGAGACAAAGGCAGCTAGTTTTAGGCCTCCTCGCGCTCTCCCGTCTCCTCGTTTCTCTGAGCTTCTCGGCGCAGAGTCACTGACAAGGTGAGAACGACGGAGAGGAGCTTCGGTTGGCGCAGCACAAGCGCCAGCTTCCTACCCCCGACAATGCTTTCGTGTCTCGTGCAGCTCGTGCGCTCGCGCGCGCAGACAAAGCACGGCGGAAGGCATAGAGCACTTCCTAGAGGCCGGGCGTTCGAGAGAGTCGCCCTGCCTTTCTATCTCTGACCGTGACTATACGGCGAGCAAGTGTTCCAAAAACGCGTCTTTGGTGCGTCGGAAAGCGTGGGGCACGGCACTGAAATAGTAAGATAAAATAAAAACAACTTGCAGGGGAGGCGCGAACCGTCATTGGCTGAGGTCGGGAGGAAACACAAGAACTTGGACGCGTTTGAGGGGTAAACAAACGCACGATGTGCGGAAGGAGCACACGAACTTGCACGCTGTATAGATGTTCGCTGGCCTCTGGGAGCCGCCATCTTGCTGCTGGTTTGGGTAGATCGTCTGATAGTCAAGCATTGCTGAGGCCGTCGGTACGCCTCAGCAATCCTTGACTATTAGACGATCTACCCACACCAGCAGCAAAATGGCGGCACCCAGAGGCCGTCCTTGCAAACGCCTGTAGCAAGCTGTATCTGGCAGTGGAGTATCGCATGATATCAACACCTCCTGCAGACCTTTCCAGAAAAGGGCGCCTGGACAGCTCAATGTTTAGTGTTCGTGCGTATGGCGCGTGATTTTCTCGCTTTTCGAAGCGACGAACATGCGCGTGCTGAGCTGAGGAGATCGCACTCTGGGCCACGGTCTGGGCTGAAAACTTGTAAATATTGGAATGGTGTATTGGCTCCAACAAAATTGACGGCACCTAGCGGCTCAAACAGAAAACTGTAAGGCCAAAATATTCTGGTGGGCTAGTTGGTTATGCATACTAAATTATAAATAGCGCTTAGACAAGGACAGACGAAGAAGTGAGTTAGCGCCTGTCCTGTCCACTTCTTCGTCTGTCCTTGTCTTAGCTCTATTTGTAATTGTGGGGACAGGTTCGCTCGCCGGCCTCCTCAAACGAATAACATATCCACAGTACCTGGCGGCCTAAAGGGAAAGCCGTGAAAGTAGGTTTGAAGGCGCGTGATGAAAATCTCCAATAGAAGGTATTGATGTGTGACCATCAGCGCGAGCTGTGGGTAAAGCAACTTATTCCACGAACAACACGTTTGTCGGTTTGAAAGAATCTGGCAAGCGGTCGCTGTCAGCGCATACCAAACCGCCGAGCACTTTGTTATGGCCGTCAGTGAAACCTCCTCAATGCTCCCTTTACAACTTTTGCACAAGGGCGCAGCGATGTTGAATGTTGTCACTTCTTGTATGCGGTGAAACATCACTTTGATCTCTCCACACCGCAGCAAAGTGTTACGGAAAACGCGTTATTCTCGCAAATTCTTGTCTTGTCTCACCTATATTTTCTCGCATTATACAGGTTGAATTTCTTTTATTCTTTTTTCGTCCCGCGTACCAGATACGGAACCCACGTGACTGAGGACGACAGGAAACAGAAAAGGTCAAGAGACGCTTTGCAGCAGCACTGCATGGCCACCGTCATAACCGACCTTCATTTTTTTCCCTCTTATTTTGATTACCTCGCTGCTTCATTGCCACAACAAAACAAAACAGGTTATTGTCATTTTAGAATCAACTGTGTTTTTTTCCGAACATTGGCATTCGTCGAGGTTCCTCCAAGCCCGCTTCACTTGGCTCGGTATCTCGGTGAGACAAGTGAAGGTAAGCAATGGCGGCTCTAATCTGGCACGTCTGCAAAGCGTCTAAATACTCGGTAATATGGCTAAAGGCCGGTTCTGACACTTGCGTTTGAGTGCGCTTGATGCGTTGCGTCGAGAACCAAAACCGAGTCACCGGCACATCTGTGCTTCGTATGAAGCGTGGAATACAATTCAAGGAATCATTTTGGCACGCGATATAAGCAGCAGAATGCCCTGGTTTCTCGCAGCCGCAACGCAGTCATGCGCAAACTCAACTGTTTGAACCAGACTTTATGCACGGGTTCGTTGCCTTTCGCTGGGAATTTGGATGCGCGAGTGACCAAGCATTATTAAACGCAGAAAGATCTTGCTGGAGGTGGATCATCTACTGCATTCTTAACCCGTCACCGGCCATAAATAACAAAGCCGTAGTGCTGGACTTGGTGCGTCGCCCACATGGCCATGACTTTAATGCGTCAGCGTTCGAATAAAATTTGCGTCAGCAAGAACGCGAGTCCCAACAGGAAGCACACGATGCAGTCGTGAGTACATACATACAATTAGTGCCCCCGATAGGCGACGTAGAAAATAGTTGATGATATCTCTCGTTCATCAAAAGACGACTACAACGTAGACGTCATTATGATAAGCCCAGATCTGCATATCTATGTTTAGTGGAGTGTTTTTTTCCCTAATAGTGTCACTTCTGAGACTTTCCAAGCCATCTATAACACCTTTCCTGCTAGCTTCGGCAAGGTTGGTAGAAAGAATTATTATCTTCCAAGAAAAAGACCGCAGTGCAGGTAATGATCGCCACTAGGCATGACGTATCGAGCAAATAGGTATGTGGCCGCCGGAAGTAGGCGGCCTGTCAAGGAAGTGAGCGTTGGACAGGCTTCCTAACTCTTCCGAGCGTTGGTCCGAACAATGTCCTATAGGCGCTGAATTGTTTTCTTCTTATCTCAGTAGAGCCTGCCTGTTGCCTTATGTTCAAATCCTTGTTTTGAAGATTTAATTGTGAAGAAGGTTGTCAACAACCACTTAAAACACAAAATAGTGGACTAACAGATCGACCGAATACCCTAAGGGTCGCTGTAGACGCCCGACATTTGAAACAAGCGTCGAACTTCTGGTGGCTTCACTCGCGCCTGGCTCGGAGAGCAGCGGGTAATTCCCTGTTTTGTTATATTAATAGGTTTTGTACTCGATGTGAAAACCACGTAATGCACTTGTTGTGCAAGCCCACAGTCTGCGACATTCCTTCTATTTCAATAGAGTAGATGCCTCGTCTTCGCCTTATTTGAATGTACATGTGAGACTTATGGCGCCAAAGAACTAATTAGTAATCAAAATCGTGTGCGCAGACGACGTAGTGGGCACTATCATGAACTAGTCGAACGATTTATTTTGTGTTATGCATTTTGTTTCTGGTGACGGCTGTAATCTTTTTGTTTCTCTCGAACAGCCGGGAGGCAAAAGCTGCCGGATGAAACACGTGACGCTTTCGCCGTAGAGGCCCGAAGGCACCAGCTCCGTCGCGCAACGAGTGCTTTCGCCTTGGGGCGGTCTATTTCAAGCGGTCTGATAAACGTGACTAGATTGAGTGCGCAACCACATCGTTCAAGCTGTCGGCGCTAATTGAAGGACACGTGTTTCTCCTACGCCGGATTCAGTCGTCGCTCTTTGTGTCTATTTCCGCACCCATTCGCCCTCTTTGCGTGTCGTCCGTTTCCTGCGCGTAAACCGATGTTTTCCTACAGTTTCTATTTCCGTTCTTAACCGAAGCGCGCTAGAAAGGCAAATAAAAGCAGGCTTGATGAGTTTTCCTCCGTTGAAAGCAGGCGTGTGACGTGGGCGGGGAGGAAACTGAACAAATCTAAGCGCATTGAACGCGCCTTCGGAGGTAGTCGCGTGCAGGAGGTGTCCTTTAATTGATCAGCTGAGTCAGAACCGATAGTTGGACACGTTTTAGTCAGTATGTGTGTCTTGTTTTTATAACTTTCTTTCTATTTTTGTGCATTGGCCACCATGGACCCTTACATTTCTTGGGGGAGGGGGGGGGGGGGGTGCTAGGCGGTTAAATTTGTGGCCCGATTCAAAGGGTTCAGCCCAAGATGGAGAAAAAACAGCAAAACAATATAGATCATGATTAACGTCTAGCGATTTTTCCTCACCACGCTTCAATGTTGCTACTTTAATAAAAACAAATTAAGCAACAAATATTCGTTATCAAGGTGAAAAGAAGAAAAAAAACCAACAGAACGAACATATTAGTGGATAGACGATTACACAGCCTCAGTTTAGTCTTAGAGTGTGGCGACATTGTTACACGCTGTATAGATGAGAAACGTAGTCAGTTGCTCATTCAGATGGAAACGAGCAAATTAAACATTCAAAGTAAAAGCTAGTGAAGAAGCAGTTCGCGGCCCTTCACCCCCCCCCCCCCCCCCCCCACCCTTTCTCTTTCTAAAACACTCTCTATCAACCTCATTGCCAGGTAAAACGCAACAGCAAGCCGCCTGGCTGTTTCCATTATTTCTCTTCAATTATTTCCGAAATGGTCTGCATACCATTAGAGTAATAGGCTTTTGGCCGATGTCTTTCCAGAATTCTTGCGTACGGCGCTGGGCTGTGAAGATCGTACGCTGGGCTGAGTTGTCCGTAATGTCGGTTCGCATGAGTTGTACATTCGGCTGAAGGTTTAATTTGGCTGAAAGGCTCAATTCGTTCGGACGCTCCAATTGGCTCCGATTAACCATAGAATCTCCAAATTAGTCAGATGCTTCGTTTGGCTAAAGTTTCAGTCTGGCTCAAGCAGCTCAATTCGGCTGGAAGGTTTGAACTAGAGGTGTAATTACCTGAAGTTCCTTAATTTCCTTGGGTCAATGAACTATGTCTTTTAAACACTTCGATTGCAT